CAAGAGCTGCCTAGGCAATTTTTAAATAGACTCATTTCTCTTAAATGAAAGTAAACTTACTCATTGGTTTGCTTTTGTTCATGGATAGCTGTCTTTATATAATGTTTTCCCACTGCAGCTTTCCTCCTCTTATGCTGTTCCAATATACAGCAGTTCTGGTTCCAGCTTTGCACAACCACTCAACGTTAAATTATAACATGTTATACTACTGTAGTCTTCCTTCTTGTACAATACATGCAATAACAGATCATAAATCATTTCATTTGTGGCACAAGAGAATTTTGTATGGATGTTTCTATAAATGAGTGCAACTCCTATATCAGAATTAATTTGGTTTGCAATTTATAATGATACTAATTACCATGCCTTTGAAAAGACAGCATCAGAACATTGATGTAATAGATTATTTGATTCATGATGAGCATAATAAAAGGGTTTTTTCCTCTGTTGAGCAAAATATATCCAACACATGCATCCCCAGGGGCACACTGCACACAGAAACTCAGCAGACTATTTCAAGAACATTTTCTGACTGTTCAAAATGGGGATTTCTTCAGTGTCTTGGATAAGCTCACGATTGTGCTCAGGCTGAGAGGATCCCAGAGTGTGACTAAGTAGGGACCCAGTGCACCATCATCACAGGCTGCTGTGCCACCTCCCTGAACTGGGGTTGGCTGGAACAAAGTACAACATGACAAACAGATGGGGATGAGGATACAGTGCTTATAAGGTTAACTGAGGTTACATTCAGTTAACAGAGGAAGCCCAAGGAGGCTATTACAGTAGCCTCAGTTTAGGAGAGGCCTTGAGACATCCTAAATCGCACTTTCAAAAACTGCGGTCCCCAACAGCTTCTGGAATGTTATGGGAGCACAACACTGGGTTAAGCTCGTGTCTGTGACATCTCTTCTTATTTTGTGCCTACAGCCTCATCAAAGGAATATCCAGATCAAAAGGTTTTAAATTAATCTCCCCACAAAAAAAAAATCCATTAGATCCACGGAAACATTTTATCTGCATGTGTAAGACAACACAGGGTGGTACTGAGCACTGGAGCACACTTTGGATCTCTTCAGGTAAAGTATTTTCTTAGCCTATCTGCACATCAACGTATCAAGCATGCTTTTATGAGTTCAGTATCAATACCAAGAACATGCACTTACGTCTCACACTTTTAGCTTATTAATTTAGCAAGTGGTATACATCTTTTTCAGAAGACTGCAGTATACTTTGTTCACAGTAGTACCTTGTAGAAACTTAGGGTGAAAAGATGTAAAATGTTCTGTGCTTAACTGAAATTCCAAAGTCTGATAAACTGGCAAACTATTTCCTGCAACTATTACAGAACTATTTAAGAACAGAAATAGGAAACAAGGACTAAGAAAAGGGGCACATCTGTTCTGCAAAATAAAGTCTAAGAACTACTAGAAGTAAGATAAACTAGAAAAAAACAGTGAACTTTTATGGAAAACCAGCAGAAGGCATATAGCCAACAGATGGCAAAGAAGTTGTACACAGAAAAAGAAAACAAACTTGAAAGCAAACTCAATTCTGAGGGCTTGAGGAAAAACAAAACCAAGGCTAACTCTTTCTTCATCACAGATTCACTGGTTAAAAATGGAGTTGCATGTGCTTAGCACTTAAAAAAAAAAAAAACAGTTGTAATTTCTGTGTTCTAAAATGGAGGCATCCAAAATTAGCATCTGCCTATGAAAATGTTGGTCTACTTTTGAAATCAATTCCTTTCTCCCCACCACATAAATACACTTTTTTTTTTTTCCCTTTGGTGTGTTTTAATTATTTCCCATGTTAGCCATTAAGCTCCATGCACTAGAAAATGTCTGCTGCTTTAATGGACCACTTTCTCATTAACTCAGATACCTGTTTAAAAAGATGCTTCCTCTGAAGCCTTTCTGCTGTAGCTTGCAACATGTACTGCCACAGAAACTGAGAGCAGAGACAGGTATATGCACAGCCCCTGAAGGGAAATTATATTCCCTGCTGCTCCATGTGCCCACATTGCCAATCCAATTTTCAATCTCCCTTTTGGAAGCAGGAATTTCACACACGCAATTCAATAGCACTCACTGATAAAAGAGATTTGACATGCAATACTGAAATGATTATTGGGGGCGCATTTTGCGGTTAGAAATCAATAGCTAAATAAAAATTACATCTTAATAAAATTCCCATATGGATACCCATGGTACAACCCTGTCACAGAAGATGAACAAGCGTTTTAAATGTCAAAATAATACAGATTTTCTACAACTGTGTATCTTCACCCAACAAGCTTTCTTCTCCTAGTTCTCATACCTTGCAAGATCTACCCAGGAAGTTGACACATCACTGCTGCAAACCTGAGCAAAGGAAACATACCAGATTTTATTCTCTTCTAAAATACATCCACTTTACAGCTGAAATTTCAGTAGTTCAGTTTCAAATTGTTCAGCTCCCAGTTTCCCCACATACACTGCTAAATGCCACAAATTTTCAAATGCATTTTATCCTTTTCTTTCTTTCCTAATGTCTACATAACCACTTTAGTTCTGGTCAAGACACTGTAAAAGAAGAAATTATCGCAAACGAGGACAAAACTCCTAAATTCCCTTTCGTAACACTGAATCCAAGCTGCCACTTGAAAGTTGAAACAAGAGAGTGACCTGTTGCTAGCACAACAGCAATAATAGAACGCAAGTAATTGTTTGATGTTTGGCTTGTGCACCTTGTACAATTCTCAGATTTGAAATTATACATCCCCTCAGCCTCAAAGTGCATGAAATGCTGCATAATATTATAGGTAAGGCCCTTTTTTTGCCCAATCACAAACCATTGTGTTTAAAAAATCTGTGGAAAAAATAGCTTTGAATTTGATCGAGACAGACACAAATGCTACCTTACAGTGAAACATTAGAAATTGCTAGGATCAGCAAAAGGTTTTCAGGACAGACATGTAGATGTTCGAGACAGCCAAGTGCCTGTGGGCACATCAGATGCTACACAGCTCTATTCAAGCATGAGAAGTTTTGCTATGAATACACTCATTCGATAATAGACACCTGTAGGTTCATTTATTTTATTGTCTACTATGTTCTCAGTCAATTATCCACACTTATGAACAAGAAGTTCTTCACCAAGAAAAAAAAGCAGTAATTAAACAAAAAATGAAGGAAGAATACTTATTTACACCGAAACCCACACGAGAAGGCAGAAGGCATATACTTCATTTGTGTCTCTTATCAGAGGTAACAGGTTGCTTTCAAAGGGGGGGAAAGGGAAATAAACCAAATCCACACAGCTGCCTAGAATCACAGATGTAAATGCAATAAATAGAACAGTCAAACTTTATATGTCAATTCGACAAAAATAGGATGCATTCCTAAACTGCATGGACAATTCAGGCTTAATTTAGAACACCACAACCATTAAAAAGTACTTAATCTGCCACCAAGCACTTTCTATTTACTGGAGTTCAGCAGACTTAGTTCAGAATTCAAGGGGGGGGGGAAATCCCCACATCATGAAATTTATTCTAATGACAAGCTTTTGCACCCAAACAAAACCAACGGGCACACACTGCCAAGCAACACCAGCGCAGCTTCACTGCCCCAGCCAGGGCTGCTATGTGTGAGGCTTTTCTTCAACCTTTATAGGGCTTCCCATCAGGACTGTAATTCTTGAACTTGTCAAAGCATTTGTAGATTACACGTCTGCCCGACTAAATGCTTCCTGCAATTTTGTTAATTACATGTCAAGGTCTACAACTACTGAATGACTCCCATCCTAGAAAACAGAGAGCTCTCCTGTCACCCTCCAGAATTCAAGTCTCAATTGATATTCTTATAGATTTCTCTGGAACATATCCCGTTGTCATGGACTGGAAAATACTGTTAAGATGTGCAGTTATACCACTAGATTATTATTTTCCTCTTCATTTTTAGTGCTGCACAACCATTTACTGTAAATGGCTTGTTTCGGGCCATAAGATTCTATGATATACATTTCTATATATGGGAACAGAGATCATGGAATGGTTTGGAAAGAACCTTAAATCTCATCCAGTTCCAACCCCCTGCCTTGAACACTGCCAGGGATGGGGCAGCCACAGCTTCTCTGGGCAGCCTGTTCCAACGTCCCATCATCGAACCACAAACATCAGGCAAGTGCAGCCCCAAGTTAATCTTCCCCTTTCCATGGCCATCCCTCCGAGAAGCGGCCAAGACCATCACCACTCCACACCAGCGTTATCCTCCACTGTGAGGAAAGCGATGTAAGGAAATACCCGGCTTTTTTGTGCGGTTGGTATTTTTCCCCCGTCTGACTCGTCATAAAGATGTGGATTAACATTCTCAGCGACGGGGAAAAACCCGAACAATGGGACATACTTCCCTGCGGGTGCCCCACACGGCCGAGGGAAATAGGATCCGCTGCGCTGGGACAGTTACTTACTGGGGGATCAGATGCTGCTAAAAATACGGGAGTGGAGCCCAGGCTGCGGCGAACCCGCCGGGACAAAGCCCGGGCGGTGCAGGCACCCGCGGTCCCGGTGCCGGAGCGCCACCGAACAGCGCACCGCCAGACAGTGATGTCACCGCGGGCAGGCGACAAAGGACGCGGCACCGGACGGACCGGCCTGTTCCCCCCCTCCATCCTCCTCCTCCGGGACCCCGCGGCCGCCTCCCGCCCTGCAACGGGCCCGGCCCGCCTGGCGCTCCCCGCCGGAACCTCGCGTCCCGCCTGCCGGGAGGCCCAAGCTGCCAGACTGGAGCAGACAAAGCGGCTTCCCCCCCTCTACGTGTGAGCGGAAAGGGAGAGGTTCGGGCGGCCGCCCAGCGCAGGAGCGGCGGCGGCCTCGGCCCGGCTCTCAGGGCTAGCGGCCTGGCGGCTGCACCGCTCCCCTCTCCTCAGCGTCCTACCCAGATCCCCGCCGACTCCCGTTGTCCCCCCGGAGCCCACTGGCCTCCGCTCGCCGCGGCGGCGCTGCCCGCCCCCTCCCCTACCTGATATGGCGGCGGCGGCTCCTGATCCGGCTCAGCCCCGTCCCCGTAGCTGGCCCTGTCCGACTGGGACTCGTGAAGCAGCGAGATGTCATCCGAAGTGGGGGACTTGAGGCAGTTCCCCATCTTCCCCCCGGGGCACGGGGCTCCCCCTCCGCCGTCTCCTCCTCCTCAGGAACGGACCGCCAGCCCCCGCCGGCGGCGGCTCCGCGCCCTCAGCCTCCCCGCCGCAGCGCGCAGCCCGCAGCCGCCCCGCCGGGGAGGCTCATGCCAGCCCCGGCCCTAAGCGGCTTAGCAGCAACAGCAGCAGCCCAGCCGCCTCCCGCTTCGCTCCACAGCCGCCCCGACCCCCGAGCCGGGGGGGGCGGCAGGACTGGCCTCCCACCCCCCGGAGGGGCGGCGTGAGGCAGCGGGCTCCGGTGGGGTCCGCCCTCCCCACGGCAGCCCGGCGCTGTTCTGCTTCCTGGTCACCAGCTCCCTGCGCACTGGGCTTTGTCGCACAGGCCGCCCTGGCTCCTCCTCTCACTCCTCCCCACCGGGCCAGGTTAGCAGCCGCGAAGCCCCGCTTCGCCGTGCCCAGCCCCACAGAGGGGAAGCCCTGCCCGCCTGTGGCGGGGCGAAGGGAAGCGAATCGGCGGCACGAGCCGCCTGCCGTCTCCTGTGGGGCGGCGGAGCTTCCCCCCGGCCCCAAAATGGTGGTGCCGCTTGGCTCCACCCCCGGAGCGCTGTGTTTGTGTTTGTTTTCCGGGCTTGGTGGAGCGGGAAGGCCGCCTCGCACCGGCGGAGGGCGGGCGGCGGCTGCACGGACATCCCTGTCCTCGGTACTCCGCACCACCCCGGGTCGGCTTGTGGGGTGTGTAAGGCCAAGGGGCCTTCCCCGGTGGGTGGTACGCCGCTGGGTTGTCGCTCAGGGAGGAAAGGAGGTTCCCCTGGTGCTTACTGCTGGCATTACTCGAGTGGGCTCGTTTGTAGTTGTGGGGGCAAGGCATTGACCTGCGAGTGTGGAGCGGAAAAAAGCAACAGGCACGTCCTGTTCAATCACTTTCGGGCTTCTGAATGTGCAGCCATTGAGGATTTTTATGTGATAAGCAGATCATAGAATCACAGAATGGTTTGAGTTGGAAGGGAGCTTAAAGCTCATCCAGTTCCAACCCCTGCCACAGGCAGGGACACCTTCCACTAGAGCAGCTTGCTCCAAGCCCCTGTGTCCAACCTGGCCTGGAACACTGCCAGGGATGGGGCAGCCACAGCTTCTCTGGGCGCCCTGTGCCAGCGCCTCAGCACCCTCACAGGGAAGAACTTCTGCCTAAAATGTAATCTCAGTCTCCTCTCTGAGATAAAGCATGTATTGTGCTCCTTTTTTTCTTCATGAAAAGTTTACTTATGCTTGCTTATACATAGTGATAAATGCAGATGTCATGAGAGTGAATGCCCCTTTCACTGCATGAGCATGCTAGTGCAGACCTGCACAGAGGGGAGGGACTTTTTTTCATTTACAGGCTGATACTTCAAGTTTTCTTTCCAGCTTTGTCGTCTGGGACACTTCCTCAAAATCCTTCCCTGGCTTTCGGAGTCACACTGGGACAAGTATTTCCAAATCCTTTTTTTGTACAGCATTTTTTGAAGTAAAGTGAATTCAGTGTGAAAGAGAACAGATAGACACTACAGTCTGTAAAGAAGTACAGCAAAGCTACTTTTTATCCCCAAGTTTTCTGCTGATCCATGTCAGTCCTGGTTTGCACAAGAGCTTCCATCTTAAGTCAAATATCTATAAACCAGATAATATATAATATCTATAAACCAGACCCAGTTGTTCAGAGGGTCATAGTTGTGACCTTTCCTTAAGCATTTGGGAAGGCCTGTGGTGGACCTCCATCTGGGAGCAGGCTTTTTGCTTATTATCCCTATGAGATTTTTCCCAAAGATTTAATTTTATTACTGTTTAGAAGTTTTGTTTTGCCACTTATTGTGGATCACCTAAACAGCCCCAGTGTAAAATGTGTAGCACTAGAAATCTCATTGTGGCATTTGTGGTGTTCAAACACAGGTTTGGGCTTTTCTAGGAAACTGAGAATAAAAATGGTGCGTGAATTGTGAACATTGCTCATGCTGGAGAGGTTTTGCAATGGATTACTGTAAAAATGAGTGTGGTACATGACTTGGTTGTTTGGGTGTTTATGCTATGAGTATGTTGACTCGGTTTAATAGAATTAGGCAAGCAATCGTTGGAGAGGATCCAGCAAACCATTGCCTCACCCAGTCGTGATTTCAAGGTTAAGGCAATGTCAGAGCTGGCTTCTGTGAGAGCCTGGTGGTGAGACTCCAGCTGTGTCACTGGTATTTTCAGTTGTGCAGTGGCAACATCAGAAACAGGATTATAGGAAACTAGAAAGACTTCTTTATTCAGCTGTCATTTCATGGTTTATTCTCTCTGTGGAGCTTCAGCCTGTATCGTTGGTATAGCTCAGTGTAGATCACAAGTGTGTGTTGCACTGTGCCTTGCAGTCCTGATTGTGTACAGCATGGAGGCCCTGTGGGAGCGTGTGGTGCCTCTCTGGTGACTGGCATCCCAAGATTTCTTTTCTCTGGAAACCAGTGTGGAAACATGGGTCTCTGGTGTGCAAACATGGGTCTCTGCTCTCATCCTGATATCAGGACACTGCTGGGATATACTCTGGGATCCCACAGTATAGATGTTGTATTTATTTATCTTGAGGCATGTCTTCAAGAGGAATAACTGCTAAGCCCAGTTAAAATTTACCCATTAGTAGGTAGGGTGCTCCAAGTCTGGGCTCCATTCAAAAGATAGAGACTTGTCAAATGCTGGAAGAGATCTACTTGTCATGGTGAACTCACCAAGACCTAAGAGGAAGCAGCAGTTCACATGGGGCTTTGCAATATGACAGACTTAATTCTGTGAGAAAAACCTATGAGAGCTCCAAACCTGTGAGAAGACCTGTGAAAGCTCCAAATGAGCAAGAGTTATTACCAGTCATTACTGGGTTCTTTGAAGTAAGGACCGTTTAAATCACTTGTTTTCTAGGCTGTTGGATTCCGTCATCATGTCAGGTAGGCCATTAATAATGGTTTTGCACCACCAGCTCAAAGTTGTGCAACAGTCCAGGAGATGGAGAATGGAAAATTTCTTGTGTTCACAAATGCACAAATGTTGTCTTTTAATATCCCTGCATATGCTCTGGTGTGGCTGTGAGGCTACTCCTTTTGCTGCCACTTTGAGACAAGAAAAGCAGCTTGGAGACAAGAAAGCAGCTGAAGAGCTTTTCAAGGGAGACTGAATTTTCTAGAGCCTTAAAATAATCCTATAGATGGGAGAAAGAGCCATGTAGTGGTTTAGGGCTGCATAGATACTACTGGTAGAAAGGATGAATGCAGATAGAAAAAAAATGCATCAGATTAACACCAATACAGAACGGGCAACCTAAGTCAATGAAACCTTTTCTTACCAGTACACGTTTAAACAACTGACTAAAATCTGTTGTCAGAATGGAAATGGGGAAGTCCGAACTTTGACAGCGCACAGGATTAATGTACTAATATGTCTCAGTACAACAATGTGATATACAGGTGTGTTCTAACCACTTCTCAGCAGCTAGAGTCTTCTAAATGAAATGTGTTTTTAAAAAATAAAATACAGACTCATTAAAAATGTTTTTTAAAAGATGCAAACAGTGGCATGTTGATGTTTTAGAGGGGTTTGATCTGAGGGCAAACAAGTTCTATAGTGCTGTATTCTTATGGCTTGTATGAAGTAGCTGGAGATGAGGGATCTTACCAAAAAATCCCTCTATTTTTGAGTTTAAAATCTTAAAACCACAGAGGACCTGAAAAGTCTTCCTTGTTAATAGTTTCTCTGCAAAGGTGACATCATAAATTGCCTAATTTATAGATAAAAGACCCTTTGGTGACTTCATTTTACATGATCCATGGTCATCTTATTGTTGGGCAACGTTTTGGGTGTGCTTAATGTGTCATGCTCAACAAAAGTTTTTGAAAGACCTTTTCTGTCCTCAGCATGGAAAAGTTTTCTCACTTCCTTTTCTTCCATCAGGCTCATTTTCCCAGCATTTACCATCTCTTATTATGTCTTATCTTTCTTCTGGATAAGATTGTTTTCTCAATCCATATACAGAAGCCCAGTTAAATTCTGAGTGCAATCTTTCCATGCCGTGGTACCAGTAGGTTCAGAGATAGCATTGTTTGCTAAGGTAGTGTTGGTGAATAAGATGCATTACAATTTTAAAACCTTTTTCTGGGGAAAAAAAAAAAGATCTTGTATTCCTCTAGAGAATGGAAGTGAATTACATTCTTCTATTATGTATGTGAATCTGATTATGGGAATTACTGAGTTAATTTATATGGTTGTAAGGAACATAGCATCTTCTAAAAAGCATGTGATTATTTTTAGTTTTGTTGACTTTAGCTGAACCATAGACATTTCTCGGTGTGTATTACAATTGTATATTGTTTCCAAGAGAGAGAGAACACAGCACTAGAAGGCAATTATGAAGCTAATACATTTCCCTGAAATGTATTTTGTGATGCAGCATTTTCCTCATGTTTCTAAAAATTGCTTAAATTTCTGCTTAAATTATCTCAGTATCATAAATACCACTTATATCAATTCATCCCAAAGATACCATCTTGTTAAGGATATGTTTTCCATAAATAAGTTGCCTTTCATAATAACTATTTTCCTCAGATCCAAAATGCTTTATCACCAAGGAGCCTACCTACTGAGGCACCTACACTGTATGTCACAAAGAAGAACAAGGAGACATATTTTGGCATTTAAAAATGCAAACAACAAAGCAGACAGTCATCATACAGAAGTAACCTCTTCAAACAAACCCGCTGTCACCCAGCTTCATGGTGAGTTTTGTGTAGGAGTCAAGTTTTCTTTTTCCCAGCATACCACATAATACCACAGTCTCAACTTCAAGAATGATCAGAGATCAGTAAACATGATCCAAGAGGAAAGACTGAAAGAATTGGGGTTGTTTAGTCTAAAGAAAAGGAAAGTGTTGGGAAACATGGTAATGATCTTCAAAAATGTGAAAGGTTTCTCAGCAGTGAGAAGGAATATGTTTTTCTCTGTGGGTCTAGGGCAAGAGGTGATGGACTTGGAGATTTAAGGTAGACATTAAGAAATCATTTCAAACTGCAGAAGTAGTTTAGCACTGGAAATGATTAGCTGAGAATCTTGCTTACTGGAGGCTTTGAAGGGCGGATTGGGTCAAATGTCTCAGGAATGGTTTTAATTGCAGTCGATAATACACAGATAACCTCAGAAGGTTCCAGACTGGTTTATACTGTTTTGTTTCTCTTGAGTGACTTACAACAGATGCATTACTGCTGTGTTACTTTAATTCTGCAACAGTTAAGGTAATACCCAAAATGCTTGTTCCTCTTTGAAACAGAATTGGGGCATTTATCATTTATCCAATGTGAATATGCTTTCTGCTGCACAGCTTAAAACACCTCTTGTTTACCTTCTCCTAAGCCTTCCTGGTTTTCTGCTTTTCACCATTTGTCCTGTACCGTAAAATCTGTTTTCTTCCTGTAGGTAGCTGTAGGTCTTCTGCAATGAAGTGATAAAATGATGCATTGAAAGATTCATGGGAACCTATGGAGTGTGATCCTCTGACATACAACCCTGTCCCAGTCCAAGATTACCTATGTCTTTGTCATTCCTTGACAGAAAACTGTTGAAACTGTTTCTGGATGCTGAACGATGTCTGTAGGTACTGTGTTCTGATTTCAAAATTTTTCCTACTATCTGAGATTCCTACAAGTCAAACTCTTCATTACATGTCCTGCCTGTGTTGTTGCAGTTATTTTAGATACCTGAAGACACTTATGCTGCTTTATTTCAGTCTTTCCATACGAATCATGATTTGTAAGTGTGCCGTATGTTTCACTGTCCTGAAAACTCTTCATGTGGTCAACTTCCTCAGTAGACATCCAAAGCTGGATAGAGTACTGTAGTTAAAACCTCAGTGTTGAGTAAAAATGTTATTTAGTATGTGCAGAAATGCCATTTATCAAAATTAGTGTCTTTCCTGTTTCATAATACAACAGCTCTGATTTCAGTTTGTAGTGCACTGTCACTCTATATCCGTCTCCATGTAATTCCTGCCTATTCAGATTTTCTTACTTTGTGCTTCTCCAGATGATTATTCTGAAGGGTACTATTTTGCTCTTCCTGTTGAAACTGTAGTCTGTGACAGCTTAGCTGGCTGAGTTGCAGAAGACAGGTTATTGGAGATTGAACAGAAGGAATGTGAGGAGGAACTACTGAAGATTTTGTGTAAAAAGTATTAGGTGACTGCCTCTGGCACTGGGGAGGAATTAGTCTTTGGGAAATCAACTTTACCATCTGGCCAGAAGTGTTTCCTCTTAGGATTCAGTTTTACTTTTCGAATAGTCCATGTGTGTGCACCCTCCTCTTGGAGGAAGAGCAGGCTGGAAGTTCGTACCAGTATTTGCTTTTTCGTGCTCGAGGAGCTTCTGTTGTCTGATGGAATACTGTGCTTTCTGGAAAAAAGTTACAGAAAACAACTATGTCATGCAGAAAGCAGAATGATCATAAATTAAGTCTTCTTGATTTCTCTAGTGCTATGAGAAGGGATACAAGAAGGTAGTCGTACAGTCCCAGTTGGTCTGTCCTGGTTTTGTTGTGTGGAGATTCCTATAACACGTGAAAATCTTGATTGTTTAAGCTTGCTTATATGACGAAAGAGGAGGAAGGCCTTTTTTTTCTCAGCAGAAGAAATCACATACTGTTTAAACAAACACTTCCCACACACTGTACCAAGACAGCTAAAGGTACTGTAAGTCTCTTCCTATATTTTTTTAAGGTTTCAGAATTATTGTGTCTAGGAATAAAATTTCTTTTTAATTTATTTTGAAGTGCATACCTCCAATTAGTTTTTGTAAGGGCAGACTTTTCCCTCTTTCTGTTAAGTTTATGGAAACTACATGCTGTGGAGATACTTCCTTTCACTGTTTTTTTGGAGGTGTTATCATCTTAACAGGAGCATCCTAACAGTGGACATTCAGGCTGCTTTAAAAACTCATCTATTAAGCTATATATTCATTTAGGGATGCCTAAACCAACATACACTTCGGGTGTGTTCTGGACTGCGTGCTTTTCCACAAAAGCTCATGTAGAAGACATTACAGAATCTCTGCAAGATGCAAGATGATTATAATGGTATGTATTGCCTCTGACTCATGAGCTGTATACCAACACAGCGCAAGGGTTAAGGACAAGATAAAATCACTTACTGCTGTTTTTGTTTCCTGAGGGTTTATTGTTTTTATGCAAGAAATGGAGAGTGGAGTTCCTTTTGTGAGGACTGTGCCAGAGTTTGAAAGTATGGGCTAAAAGTGTTTCTGTCAATTGTGATGCCATTCATAGCTTTTGTATCAAAATTTGGATACAAAGATCTCTGTTGTAGAAGCCCCATCTTGTGGACAAGCAATCAATGACTATTTCAGCACAACTGAGATTTAAAATATTTAGAAAATCTGAAGGTATTTTGGTATTTTGTAGCAATAAACTGGAAAGTCTTCATATTGCTGGACAATATGGAAACTTCATTCATGTGTAGAAATCAGCATATGCTTTTTGAAGACTATTACCACAGGTGAGAAACAGTGAATTACAAAGAGGTGATAAACAGGGATGGAAACAAAAAAATTGTCCCTAGAACTCTGGTTTTAGTCTAAGCCAGCTAAAACACTAACAAGTCTTGAATTCTCAGAATAATTTCCTTTAGCATTTCTATAGTATAGTATAAATTAGCCTTTGGGTGGCAAAATCATATAAAGGCTGAAGTATATTCGTTGAAAAAATTGAGACAGAGTAGCAAAGTATGCATGATAACTGAATCTGGAAACTTTGAGAATATCCTTCCAACCCTAACCATTCTATGATATACTTGGTTTCAGCACAAAGTAATGGAAAAGGGCAACAACTCCAGACTCACTGAGATGACGTACTTGACAGGAAATCATTAGGTAGGTAAAAAAAAGTGTGAAACAAGCCTGTGATAAAAGCTATTTTCAGATTTCAGTATGACATTAGTAGAATAAAATATATATTCTATTATATAATATTCACTTTTTGTTACATAATATACACATAGGAATTCTTTCTGTCACTCTGAAGCAATTGGGTTATTATATGATAGTTTTCTGTTTCTTCTATATGAAGAAATAGGAAAATATGATAGTTTTCCATTTAATAATAAAGGCTATAATAAAGTAGCCAGAAAGTGTAGCGACATCTAGGGAAAGCTTGGCAGAAGTGCCTCCATGCTAAAGCATCTGTAACTCCATTTTTTGCTTTATGGGTTGGCATTTGACAGCTATACTCCGTGCAAAAAGAATAATGTCTTGAGCAACATAACCTCTTTAGAAGCAAGCATAATGAATATGAGAACATGATCTTTATTTTAAGGTTTTAGAATGATCCCCGTAGGAGTTTGGAGGGCTGATAGTATTGAAAATCTGCTTTTGACTAAATTTGCAAGTTAGATCTGTGTGAATTTTAAGCAGGAGATGGGTTCTTGCTTAAATCCAATCTGCTCTTCAAAAGCCAGTCAACATCTCTAACTGAAAACGTAACCATTTTTTTTTCCTGTGAAGGTAATGTCCCCAGGGAAAGTTTGTTTGGTGTGACTTGATTGGAAGGAATGACAAGAGTAAAAAGGAATATGGCATGTGAATAGGGTGCTATACCAGGCCCTTTGTTGGGAGGGGAACAGAGGTTCCTATTCCTCCAGGCAGATGTCTGACTAATAACAGTGATTAAAAAAGAGACAAAAGTTCATGATCTGGACATTACAAAGCCAGGAAAGAATTTCCTAGTTCTTATCAGGAGGAGCCTGGATGAAATCTTCACTTTAAAGCCATATCAGGTACAATATATTTTAATACTTAAAATTACCTCTGAAAGTAAGTGTATATCTGCCATTTTACAGTTTAGTTTAAAATAACTGTTTACTTCATATAGATTTTCATCCTTCAGTAATCTGGGAATTTCATAGCCACAACTTGTTCATAACATAAATAGATGTAAAAAAGTCATTGTTTTTAATCAATTAACAGATAAAACTGTAAATGTGCATTACCAGCATATTATTAAAATAGTCTCAGAAAAGCCTGCGGATGCTTAGGAGTTCCTCACTGACTCCTTTTGTTTCTCATAGCAATCCAAAGAAATAGAATTCTATATTTTGGTCAAGGGCATCTTTGAGGAATTGTCCAAGCCAGGGCAAAACCTTTGAGAAAGATGCATATTCTCAATTGTAGCCTTGGTCTATTCCTTAAGGAAGGGAATATTAAGCCTTTAGCAATATACAGGACTAAATCTTTTACCTGAGAGTAAATTCTGCTGGAACCAGCATATGCAATAAAAATACAAATCTTTCTTGGTGTGAAATGAAGTCATGAAAGGAGCTTTGTTGCTCCTTTCTGTAGAAGGTGTTTCTTCCTCAAGAGACAGGGAACACCAGATGCTAGTTTGACCCTCAAGGGAGGAGCATATGAAGTGTGAACAGCTACTTAAAATTCCCTGCACTTAAGTAATAAAGCATGAACAATTCAACAAGAGGAATACAGACACATTAGTGTGGTATGAAATCTAGAGAAGAAGCTGTAGCCTAGGAGAAGAAAATGAATATGTAAAGTCTGTAATAAAAGGGTGTTGGAAAACAAGAATTTATTCCAGAGGTGTCCAGGGAGGGAATAATGGCTATTCCACCGAGTACATTCATTGTAGTACAGAGAAAGGGCAACCTCTGGTATGAAAGACAGCCTGTGTCCTTACTCTGAGCAGAAGGCCCTAGAAAAAGGTGGTATGGGTGAAAGCAAAGGTCTGTGAAGGAGTATGAGACACAGGCAAGCATTCAGTGGTACTTTTCATATTGGATTGTATTAGAAACTAAAGTTGCTTTTATATGCCCATATAGGAGGAAGGAAACTGATGGCATCAAGACGCTGAAGAGTAATCTGTTGTACATTCCCCTGCTAGTATGTACGATAAAACATTCAGTTGCAGTGTATCATAAACAGAGGGTTAATTGCTAAAGTTGCAGAGTAATATGCATCTCTTGTACAAATAGGTTTTTATCAAGAAGATACAGCTCAGAGTTTAAGTGTAAACTTGCAGTAATCCACTGCAGAAGAGCTGTGTGGGTGTATAAAATTGATTTGAAAAGGAATGAAGAGGTGTGAATTGCTACTTTTTAAAGATAAAAACTTAGTGCACAGGTAGGTCATGTGTACTAAGCACATGAAAACAAGTCTTCATCATTCTCTCTTTATTATGCATATTTTTGTAAATGTTTTCTTTGGTCACTTCTAGCCTTTCTATTATTAAATCTTTGCATATTAGATTTTTATTGATATAAAAACGTTAAGAGATGTAATAATACAGATATATGAAGCGATTTAATATTAAAAAGATTTTCAATGAGCATTTGAAAGCAAGACTTGATGTGTTATGTTGCTACAAAATTCAATATATGCAGTTGAACTCTGAGCACTTGCGTTTATAATATATGAAGGGGTTCTCTTAAAACCATGTCTTCATTATGTCATTTGAATTCCAACTCTGGTATGTAATTTTAGCTTAGTACTTTCTATCTGATTTTCAGCAGTGTAGGTTTTTGCAGCTAGGTGGGTTATGCTTTGAGCGAATTCTTTTTAATCAAAAGGAAGAAAGCTTTTGCTTTACCTCTTTATAAACTCACCAGAGCCACTCCTTCATACCAGAGTTCATGTTTTATTGACCAGACAGTGTTTTGTCTTGCAATTAACTTCTGCAAGGATACAGTGCTGTAGAAGCTATTAAAGAACAATACTGTTGTTACTGTAATATTTACCAGCATAATTATTTAAAGTATATGTTTCATTACTTACGTTTTCATGTCTGTGTGGTACATGTATCAGCCTGTTCCATTACTCTGCACCTGTACTGTCTCTGCCTTCTGCCCACTCCTCTTCTAGCCCTGTACCTTTCTCCAGAGCTATGTTGGTGCCACATTCCCATGACCCCACTGCTGCTTCCATTAGTCACCACCATAGGAACCATGTTCCCAGGGACAGATCCTGGTCCCTATGCAAAAACAGACCAGCAAGATAAGAAGGAAAAGCCCCTGCATCACCAACCAGCTTGAAATTCTTCCAAGCCTTGTCCAAAAGGGTCAATAATTCTTGTAGTAAGACACTTTTTCTGGTATTAATGTCATGAACATTTTAAAATGGCATCAGCCATTAATTACTATCACAACTTTTAACTCTCTGTTTCTGTTTCAAATTTTCCCCAGTTCAATCAGAACCAAAAGTTAATGCCCATTGGCTAATTTCCAGTGCATGCCTCCACAGAACAACTGTTGCCTTTAACTGGTGGAGAGATCAAGGCTTGAACTGACAAAAGACATCTGTATCTTAGAAAACAAATTAATGTTTATGTTTTAATTTATAAGTTCCTGGCTCTTTTACGGTTCCTGTTTTTCAAGTAACGTCTCTTTGGATTCCTAGCTGATGGAGAGTCAAAATGGAAAAGGCCCATGAGAGAATTATCACAATACAACATCTGGTCTGCATTGGAAAGAGCAGAGAAAGATATTCAACATCTTGGAGACCAAGAGGCAGCTGTGAGGCACTTTCAAAGTCTGTGAAAAATCGTGCAGGTTGTGGCCACCTGGGCCAATATAGTATTGTTTTGGGATGAGCTACTCTGCTTTCTAGAATCTGGATTTTAATCTCACTTCAGTACAGATACATGAGAGCTGGGAGTGGTATGAAAGGTGTTTGCTTTTCATAATGTTAATCTGAATCCCAGCATTGTCCTAATTATATTGTGGGGTTTTGCCAGTCTCCCAATTTTCTTTTCAGCGTGTTAGCTAGGAGTCAAAAGGCTTTCTCAGGGCTTTTGGCATAGCTTTATAGGAAAAAAGGATGGAAAGGACTTTGTGTATTTTTGGAAGAATATTTTGCATCCTGCTTTAAACTGTTCCAGAAGGTTAAAGGACATTAGCTACACTGCATATTGGCTAGGGTACTGGTATGTCATTAACGGCAAGTTTTGCTTTGTCTAATTGTTCAGGTTTCTTCAGTCACAGACTATGAGAAATGCAAAGAAATCATGGAGCAGCCCAGGCAGTAAGGTTACCACTGGATTCAGAGGGAACAAAGTCCTTCCACCACATGAAACTTTGGTCCTTTAAGTCATCATAGCTCATGCAGAACATAAACAATTTGACATGTATAACAAGAAACACTGCAAATTGTTTTCCAAACAGGCATATACTGCAGATGGAAGAACTGATGAAAATTGTTTATAAATGAGGAACTAAATGTAGATTTTTCGAGAACAAGGTTGCTCTCTTCCTTGCCAAGACAAACAAATCTGATAGAACATCTCATTGCTTTAGGCTGCCTGAGGACCCACTGGAAAGTCTATGGACCTTTCTCCACAGTAAATTTGTGTGTTGTCAGTACATAAGCGTATTGTCCACAGTTGCACTGTGGCAGCTGCAGAGGAAGTGGAAGGTTCTCAAGGAATACATGAGGGAGAACTAGATTTTTGGCTCCTAACACAGTATGGAGTGCTTTTGGAAGCTGTGGAAGTTTATGAGCTGAATGTTACTGCTACAAAAGGTTATCTGTGAGTTAAGCATAATGGTAATTAATCTGCTATCTGTAGATCTTGACACTGACAACATGATGAAATTGAGAATTCCTGTTCTTTAGAATTGCAGTTTTCCAAAATGCCTTCATTCCTATAATGACAGGATTGTTAGAGGTTTTCAGTGCACAGATGTTTTTACAAGGCAGTATATAGTCATCCCAAACAACTGTTTTTAATGGGACAGTTATTTAAAAAAGCATGTAACGAGAGCATAAATACAGTCCCTGATACTAACATAAAACATGTATTAGCAAAATAATATAGTTTTATTTCCCTCATACGTAGCAGGCCCTGGAAATATAAAACTAATCATGTCCTTAAAATACTGTTATAGCTGTAAACATCTGGAAAAGAGGACCAGCAGCATCCTCAGCTGCATTAGGAAAAACATTGCCAGCAGGTCAAAGGAGGTGAATGTTCTCCTTTACTCAGCACTTGTGAGACTTCAGCAGGAGTAATGTGTCCACTTTTGGGCTCCCCCCAGCAAGGAGGACATGGACATACTGGAGTGACTGCAGGTAAGGGCCATGGAGGTGATTAAGAGACAAGAGCATCTGTGATATGGTTGCCCAAAGAGGCTGTGGAGCTGGCATCCTTAAAGATACTCAAAACTCAATTGGGCAAGCTCCTAAGCAGCCTTATTTGGGTGATTCTGCTTTGAGCTGGGGGTTGAACTGGATGGTCTCCAGACGTGCTTCCATCCTCAGTGGTACTGTGAATATTTGAAGCAGTTTGCTTATGTCTGGTCAGCATTTTAGCTGGAACTTGACTGCGTAGGAATCCTAAAGAAAGCAAAGTCTGTAACCCTAGAAATACATCCAGATGGCTGAGGCCCAGAAAAGGCATAATGAGAGCTGCTAAGTATTTTGAATGTCTCATCAGAGTGATATTTCACTTAAAAATACAAATATAGAAATGACTTGGGTCTTCTTATCAATGACATTGAATACCCAGTGATCTCTAGTATGATCTCTTGTTTCAGCTGGACTGTAAAGGGTAACAGCTTCTCTCTATTTTAGTTTAATCTTGCTCTGGAAAATCTTACCATATACCTTATTTTATAAATGAATACTTGATGCTTTATGGTGCAGAATTAATTTGTTAGTTTGTTACATGCTTTCTTTCCTTATTAGTACTGATATTAAAATATTGCAATGTGTTTTGACGTATTACTTCAGTAATAGGCACATACTATGTGTCAAGGACTTGAGAATGTCATCATTTGATCAAGGTAAAATCAAAATATATAATTACATTGCATATTCTATGGCACTTAGTGTCTAACTATTCTTACAGCACCTTCAGACAACAAAGATTAAATTCAGAAATGGCTTTCATATTTTCATGACACAAGTTTTATATAGCAAGGCAAAACAATGTATTTTTTTAGGTCAGCTGAATAGTGATGGGTAGATTTACCTTTGGTTTTCATCATGAAAATGCCAAGGAACTAACTTGCAGTGTTGAGAATTCCCAGGTCCTCCTTTTGAAAACTCTTTGTCTTTTGTGTTGCCTCTAGGAAAAAGGGAAAACATTCTGGAAAACAAGAAATGAAGGAATGTTGTACAGTGAATTAAGAAATAAATAGATTATAGAGCACTTAATTCTAGTTTTCTGCACTCCAGAAAATGAAACACTAAGAAATAACCTGTTTCTTTATTATCAATATATGGAGTCACACTGGGTTTGGCAGACAAGGACAGAAGCTTATGAATAACACCTGTGATAATTATTAGAAGACCATAAATTTTGCGGTGGCTGAACTCATCCTAAAATCACAAAATTAAGTCTTCAGACATAAGTAACATACGAAGGTCAAATACACTTAGTCATAAGTTGCTATCATCTGCCATCACTTTTCCATGACTTAGTGCTCTTACAGCAAATCTCCTCTGATTGCAGTAGACTCTGCGTGGGATGGGGGTTTTGGTGGGGAGAGTGTTACTTTAAATTGACACCTCTAGCAGCAGTTCCTATTTCTAATGTTTTCCTTTTATACATTTATAGCCTATTATATCTATCCAAGCCTGGCATAGCTCCAAGTCACCCATTTCTCAGTAATACAGGAAATTAAATCTAAAGTCTAATAAGCACGGAGGCTTATGCAACCTTCATTCGCTGAAAAAAGTATTATGTAACTTAATAATATTACCTTGTCTTTTGATGGCTAGAGAGTTGTGCACTTTGTTTCTCTGTAGACCAAATAGGTTCTGCATTTGGACTACAGGAGGCTGGGTTGATCCAGCATTTTCTGCAAGCTTTCTGAATGTCACCTCAATATTACTCTCTTGTTGAAGGACTCCCTGAAACTTCCATGTCTACGGTTTGGCGCCCTTCTTCCACTACTCCCTGTGGTAGGAACCCAATCTGTTCCCTGGTGCAAGGCCTGTGTACCCTGTATTCTTACCCCAGGGGTGCTGAGTGCTCTCATTCTTCCCCCCGGGATTTTCTCCAGCCTGACCAGATTTCTGCCTATTCTATCCCATTTTCTATTAATACCCCCTGCGGTTCTGTGTTGGTGGGTGCAGCATTTGAAAGTGCAGAAATCTGGCTTGAGACCACACAGATTAGCACCATAATTTCAGGGTCTTGTCTCCTGCATGTATCGGTTTATTAAGTGGATTTATACTGAATAATTTTAAACTGTTGCAGCCTTCTGAAACTGTTTCTGTAACACACAGAGTGATATAAGGTCGCCGGTGGTGTGGAAATTGGTTTTGCAGCTGATATGTTAATTCAGCAAGAGATGAGTTCTTGCAGAACACGAAGAAAATGATTTTAATATAGTGCCATGCTACTTCATTGGCTTTCAGGAAAGAGCTAATTAAAACATTCAAGGGAGATTCAGGTCTCTGGAGAAAGTACCATTATGGAAATACAAGGTTATTTTTACTGCACAGCTTATTAGCTGCTTTTCTAAAAGCAAATCAACTGAATGTGGTGGACTCAAAATAACATTTTCACCTGCTCAGGAAGATGAGAGATAAGGTACTTCTGTAAACTGAGTTCAATATAAGACTTGTCACAGTCTCTCCTGTGTCACTCACCCCAGGTTTACAGTAACCACTGCTGCAGTTTTCTGGATGACAGCTTTCATCCAAATACATCCAGGGCCCTTAATATGGCTCTACTAGTGCAACTAATTGCAATGAGGAGCAGAATTACATTCATGATGCCTAAGGAGAAGGAGAATCTCTGCACTCAGTATGAATAAGGGGTAGCAAAGGCCTAATTTTTCAGAAATAATTAAATTGAAAATAATTTTAATAGCCAATCCCAAAGAAAAATCACCAGGAATTTAGAAGCCCTGTATTTTTTCCAAACAGTGCGCTTATACCAGGGAATTACTGAGCACCAAAAGTAAAATAACTGTAATATTTACTGTATGAAGATACGAAAGGAAAACAATTTTACCAGCATAAACTGCTTCATCTTTTTGAGAAGAAGAATGAACAAAATAAAATTGAGTTTCTAAGAAACAATTCTAAAAAATCTCTATTATAAAAATTGTATTAGATTTTACAAGGTATTTTAATATTGAGATAATAACGGAGAAAATGGCATTTTACTCTATGTTCTTTCATAAAACAGGTACGATAGTGCTATTCCCAGGGAAAAGACACCAGTTCCAACAAGAGTAGTGTCTGTTCTAGAATTAAGGATAACGTCTCAAAATATCTACATAAACAAGAAGGTTAAAAAGCTTAATGTGAAAATAACAATCTCTTCTTGAACAGCATCTACTGTGTCCAGCCTATTCTGTTTCAGATGGCCCAGGAGCACAAACAGGTATGACATCATATCATTTTACATCATTAATGGAAGTGTTTCCTTTCAAAACTACAATGTTATTTTCTGCCCAAGCTTTCTTTCATTAATTCCAAAGTTATTTTGACCCAACCATCTCTATGTATGTTTAGCTATGTTACCTAAACACGGTTTTCCAGTACTTTCTAGTATGGACTTTATACTGAACAATTTGTTTAATTGCATTACATGACATTTTAATAAACTAACTTTCTAAAAATCTATATTGATGTCTATTCTGATCTTTCCTGATAATCTGCTTCAGGGTGGCATTATTATGGAACAGACTACCTTGGAGGTTGCTTTAGCTATTTTAACTCCATTCCTGTAATCCACCAGTCTTAATTTTTCAGCTGCTAACTTCTCTGACAATGAACATTGTTATAAAACCAGTTATTTAAGACAGAGTAAATCTGACTCTGAATTTCATTGTCACCAAGGTTTCTTTGTTGATGCAATACCTGTAGATGGATTATTTTCAGCAGAGTCTTCAGAGGCTCTGCCAGTGCCTCAGCAGTACTCCTCAAACCTCTTCTGCTGAGACTATGCCGCAGTGGGTGGTAGTAATGATGATTTAACTCCTTTACTGAAGATGGATAACTACAAGAATAGAGAGGGATCTAATATGTGGAATCCATGTGAGTAACGTCACCAAAATCCAGTAAACCACAGCTGCTGGGTAAGATCTGCAAACTCCATTGGGAATGAGTTTGCTTTCCTGGCTGACAGAGCTCAGTGTGTCATTTTAGCTTGTCTGAGATTTTCTGTGCTTGGTTTCTTCCCAAAGTGGTTTGGTTTTCTCAGATGCTAGACCACTTCTTCCAAGAGTTATCTTAGGTGTCAAGCAAGCTTCCCTGGAGAAGTTTGTTAACTATTTATTCATTTGGTTCAGTTTAGGGAACTGATGTTTGCTGTAACACTCCCATTTCAGTTCAAAATGGCTCGAGGGCAGTGGGCAGTTGTGGAGCAAGCTCTGAGGCTGCCAGCCAAAAACTTGATTTACTGGTTATTCCTGTCACTATAATGATTAATTGGGAAGAGTTTGCAGAAGAAGTGAGAAGAATGAAACTTGTGCAAATTTCATTTAAAAAGAGATACTAACAAAGAGAAAAAATCAACTGAGACAGCTACTTAAAAGACTTTTTCTTAACTGAAGGCTTTAAAATTTCTGTGCCTTGCTTTTAACAGTTATATATTTGTCAGACTAGAAATGGAAATGCTCCACTGAGTAAACTTTCACGTACTGCTAAGGAGAGTTTGGAGAAGGACTGTGGTATGGTCAGTATTAATTGAAGGGTCTATAGTGTTTGGGCTACAGAGGTCCATTTGAAGAAGAGACAATAAAATGAGGGGTTTGTGCCCCAATACTATGACAGAGACATGGAAGCTGTTCATCCCCAACAGAGTTTATGCATGTGTGATCCCCAGGCAGAATATAGCACAGTCCATTGACAATCCAAGAGGGGAGGAGCTGGGTCCAAGTCTTCTTATCCACCTTCACTTTATGCGAGTGTAAATAACAAATTGTATGCAGCAACTTTTTGAAGAGATAGAAATAGAAAATGCAATTCAGTGTTTAAGTTTGCATTCTCAAGCTTACTCGCATAGGCACACTTAGGATGGATACATGCTGCACACAACTTTGAGAGCTCCTGCTATTTTCAATTCTGGCTCCTGTGCTTTACTGACTCGACTGTATAGTAGATAGAGTACTCATAACAGTAATACCCTGTTACCTTAACTGTGAAAGGTTTTTCTGGGAATCTAATGGCCAACAGAATAGAATTCATTGTTTTGTTTTGGTTTTTTCAGCAAGCATTTAAAAGATCCACCAGTTCATCTCTATCACAGCTTATTTTTCTTGTGGCTTAGCTTGGACACTAATCTGCCTGTTGAGTTTACATTTATGGAGTACGACCTAATATTTTCTCCACGCGTTCGGTATTATGGTTTTGATTTTGCAAGTCTTGTTGCTTGGGATACTTGCAGAAGTCATGTCTGTTTGCACAGCAACGACAGAACTGGGGTTCAGATGCTGCTAATTAATCAGTCAAGAAGGAACAAAAATAGTTCTGAAGGCTACTACTCTTGGCTGATGCTCAGACGGGTTGGTAAGAACTGTAGAGACAACTGAGTACACTGCTGGCAGTATTTGTTATACATTTTATTTCATAAGTGGATTTTTAGGATTTTTTGTTTTAATTTAGTTATTTTACTCTGCTTTAGCAGTTCTTGTCTGAATACACTTGTTGTTTTTCCAAAATGCCTGCTCTGGTTTAGGTGCTTTTGTTGGCACTAGTCAGCTTTTCATCCATGTAGTAATGTCCACAAGGTGGTGCCACAGCTAAAAAGTTAGCAATAAATAACACAAGTATAATTTGATAATTCTATCACGTTTTTATAGCTGACTGAAGTATCTGCATCATCAAAGAATTAATAACTGTTTTATAAGCACATCATCTGCATTTCTAATGACATCACAGTTTTGCAAGCCTGTTTTTTAAATCACTTGTGTAAGCAGAGCTGGGTCTGTTTGCTGTCTGAGTGGGAGCAACACACACACGTGTGACAGTCCAAAATCATGTACAAAAGGGAATAAGTAGACAGGCTGATGATGAATGTAGAACTGTGTCTGTAGAGACTAAGACTAGCAGAGCTGTGTATGTCCTAGCAGGGTTACCAGTGCAAAGATCATGCCCACCAAAGTGTCTTCTCATGAACGACGCAAGGAGATGTATGTCTAGATTGCTTCAGCGGTACCACAGGAGTCAGCCTGAATCTGGACAAGCAGAATAGTTCATCCTCAGCTTCAGCTAAGTCAGCTTCCATGTAATCATCCTAGCGTGGCCATGGCACGTGGTAGCCTCGGAGGTTTTTCTGCAGCCAGCAATAGCCTTATTTCCCTGTCATACAATAATGTACAGTTGACTGTTAATTCCAAAGTTCTTACAGAGGGACCTGCTATGAGAGCAGTTGGGCTGGTATATACAGGTAAAATTTGGTAGGAGCCTTTTTTTCTTCAATCATAGTTAAAAAGACAGCCACCCCAAACTGCATTTAGTGGAGGTGATCAAGTGTATGAGCCCCTTTCTACACAAGATCAGACTAGAGAAAGTAAAAGGCAATAACAGGGAATGCAAAATGAGTACACAAATTAACCACTCACTACAGAAAAAACAACAAAATTTACTGGATAAAGTTCTTTGTATGGATCTGAATGGCTATACTGTTTTATAGCAAATTTGCATGTCCCAGAAGAGCTGAAGTGCAGAGGTGCTTGGTCATTCCTCTCAGCACATTTGTTCCATTCTTCAGCTGCCCTTGGCCACATGGCCATGGTTGCTTCTTGCTCCTCTCAAATGACCTCTGCGATGCAGGTATGCATGCTAACCCAGTAAATATTCTCCATAACATTCTGCAATGGATAGATAAGTTTGAATCATTATTCATCACATTATTTTGTACCAAAAGCAGCAAGAAAAAAGGGTAATTTAAGATAACTTTCAAGCAAACATTGCATTTGTTGTTTCTTCCTGCTAGAATCTATCATAATAATGATAGACCTGTATCAGAAAGGTAACAGGTGTTGCTTAATGTATTTTCTCTAAATTGCTATATTATTGTTATAAAACACACTAAAATTCTGGTGGCTTGTAAGGAATTTGGTGGAAATTACATATACTTATGAAAGATGGTCTGACCCCCAACTATAAAGCAGAATGAGAGTAGAGGTTTATCAGGTCCAATTCTAAAAGTTGTCAAATAACACAACTGCCACCTCTTTTTGTTTTTTTCTAAGGATCATATTTTTAAATTGTATTTTAAAGTGGTTTATGTTTTTTTTTTTTTTAAATTTGTATTGATTTTAGCATCTGTTTAGAAAGTCAGAATCACAGAACCAGCTAAAAGAGCAAAGTCACTGAACAGGTCAGCTAGATTTATTTTGCAGGTCAGTCACTCTGGTCAGTGTGTTTGGACACTAGTTTGGACTGAATCACGACAGTGACGTTTGATCAGAGTACTTCTGTAAGATTGTTCTGAGTCTATGGCTGCAATGTGTGTTGCAACTAAAATGATGTGTTTCTGGTTTATTTTGGACTTTGCTTTTTCTCTGACTTCATAAAATGACTTTCAAATATGTGTATTTTTCAGATGTCTTACACAGAGAAGAAACAATGCTCAATTCTGAAAGGAATTGCAGAGCATCTGAGACCATACCTTTAAGTCTTCACTGTATGTAAAACCCAGGTATTAAGATAATTTAATAAATTAATAATTTAATGTAATTTAACAACCAAGATGAAATCCTGAACATTTGCCCTTGCAATATTTGTGTGTTTTGGGGTTTTGCTGGAAATCCCTTAAGTGCTTTTAAAACATCAAAACTATTTTTCCTCTAGGTCTGGTTTTCTGGTTTCCCATTTAGGCAGTCATGAACAAAACATGCTTTAGCCCTATGTCTATACCTAAATCTACATTTAGATCCCTTTAAATATTAGAAGGAGGTAATTTTCAGTGTTCTAAGTTAGGAGTCAGCCTGAGCACGGCTCAGAAATCATCCTGCAGATGCACAGTGTTAACCGGAAACAATTTAGAATGGCAGTGGTATCCTGCAGGATGTGTGCAACTCGTTCGGCAATGTGTTGATTTACACAGGACTACATTATAGATTATACATTCTGGTAATTGTGGTATTGTTATTGCCAGGCTATATCTAAGCACAGGAAATACATATAAGCACATTTGAAGTGATAACATCCACTTCTGTTTAAAAAGCAGTATTTTATTCGTGTCGAAAAACTCACATAATACAGCATTTGCAAGAGAAAATAGACAATTTCCAAATTAGGACTTAGCAAGACTTCTAGGGAAAAAGCTGCTTCATTATGGGAGGCCCATAACCAGCATTTGCAAGTAAATCCACAAACTTTTATTCTCAATTGCTTTAAAAAATATGGGGTTTTTGTATGGACTCTAATCCAAGAACAGAAGGAGACAATGCATTTCCATCTGAAAACACAAGAAAGATCAAAATAAATGTTTAGTGTGTCACCAAAACCACAGTACAAGTTTCTGTTAAAGAGAATGAGTAATACCATTCTAGCTATTAGAATGCTGTGAGTAGATAATAATTCCATCTGACTGGTAGGGCAGATTATGTATTCTGCAAGAAAATTATCCCATCTAAAGTCTTGCCCTATTTCATCACCTCAGTAGGAAAGCCTACCCACCATACCCGTTTACCTGAAGCCCCTCTATGCTTGCTTGTCTAATATTAGGATTCAGGAACATCCAACATCCTGTCTTGAAGTTCAGGAACAGTTTGACTCAGACCTTGACTTGAAAATGTGCACAGGTTCCTGCTACTGCTCCCAGGATGTAGGATTTGGGTTCATCCTCAGCTCTGCAGCTGAAGATAGCATACAGTGAGGCCCCTCTCAGAGCCCTTCTCACCATTTCTCTGTAGAAAGCATAGGCTTCAGACCTATCTATGCACTTAGGAAAATGACTGATCAAGTCAAAGGTCTCCCAAGTTTCCCCCCTGGAAGGGGGTATGGATCTCTCCAGAATGACGAAATATCCATCAGGGTTTGTATGACAACCTCTTTTCCACAGGCAACACTAACTGACAAAACGTAGTTAACTATTATGCATGTTATGCCTGCTTCTTAGTTTGTTTCACCAGGGAAAATATATTAAAATTGGTATAAAGTTTCCCTCTTGTTCCTCCCAACAATAGAAAATTACCAGGGAGAGAAAATAAGACAAAGATTTAACTTTATGGAATAATTAGAGGAGAGCATATGATGCTCTCTCAAAAGGCCTTCCAGCTAAACTTCTTGTTTTTTCTTTAACATTGTGAAACATTCTTGTCTGTGTTAATACATGAGAAAAGGAACAGTAGAACTGTGAAACTGATTAATAGATCCAAGAAATACAAACCCCTGGGCCATAGCTAAATCTGTATCCATACTGCAGCGTGATGGCAATTGTATCACAGGGTAAAATCAGAACTGGAGTTGGTGCTGGTGCATACTTTCCCTGTTTGTAATCCTGGAGCTTGTAATACTGTTGCAGATCAATAACATCATGCTATACTGTGTAACTGATTTGTTGAAATGGTAGTTGAGAGTGGGGTTCTAAATAGACACTGCAACATACAGTAAAGGATTGGCCTACAAATGGGTCTAATGGTGATGTGATGAACACAGACATAAAATAGCCCAAAGCCTAATGATTTGCTTCATAATTTCATTAAAAACTTTTTATTGGGTTTCAGTTTTTTTTATCTTTATTATTTAACATCAAGAATACATTTGTAATTGTGCATTCATAAATGCTACTGGTGTGACATTTTTGTACTGACAGTCAAACTAACACTGAACAGAACTTCAGTTTTGTCAGATCTCATATTAGCCAAACTTTGTAGTACTAAGGTGGCTCTAAGTTAATATTAATATGCCTTTGCTTGGGGAGGGCTTATGATAGTCTTTTGGAAGTGTCATTTGCTTAGGTAAGCTTTCATTTAAAAAATAATAATATGAAAATGTTTTTAATTTTAAATACAATCTACAGTATTTTCCTGACTGGGAATCTCTGTGCCTAAACTTGTCATATCCTGTTTAACAAAGGAGCAGCTTCAATAGCACTTACAGTACTTAATGTTATGCAGATTTTCAGTTTGTTGCTGTGATCTGGGCTTTAAAAGCAAAGGTCAGGTAAAGATCCCTTCTTGGAACACACTAGGATATGAGCCCAAATGTTTATTTTTCGTCATAAGTCTACTTATTTAATAGACCATTTATGACTTTACTTTTAATATAAGTAAATATATTTGTATTTGTGTGAGTATCAGGAAGAAAAAAATACATATTCTCTGTTGAGCAGCATTCCTAACATGGCTGCAGCATGCGTGACTCTTTCTGCAGTACATTCAGATGATGGCTTTCGTTAAGAGATGTTGCCTGGAAAAATCTCTCACGATTTCAAAAAGGGATTCTAATGCCTGCCTATTTCACATGGGAAAATTCATTTCATCACTCTTTTACATGACATCAAAATAATTGTGTCTTTCCTTAATTGTGACTATAGAGGGTCAATTACAATGGAAATTAAAATACCAGACTCTGCATGCCATACAATTTGTAATTAGCTTGAGATATCCAAAGGAAATTCTATAAGTTACTTTAGTCTTTTCATTTGGTCTCAGATGTCTCAGCTCTGTCTGATTTTGAGTTTATAAGAGCAGCTTGTCACTGAATTTTTGGTTGAAATGTGTCTGTTTGAATTGAATGCTCTAATGAGCCCTCATCATTAAAATCCTTTGAGTTCTGTCGCTTGCAAGGAACTGTGTGGAGCCCTGGAGCCCTTGTGACTGTTGGAATAACTCAGAAGTTTCCTCACCTTGCTTGAGCAGTATGGCATAACCCTTAAACACCTGAAATACCTTTAGGGCTTAAATATTTGGTGTAGATACCTAAAAGATAAGAGTTTCTTAAGCGTTAGAAAGCAGAGTTTGAAGATCAGATTGAGCCATGTCTCTTGCATTTACTTCTCTAATAAAGCTGTCAAGATGCTGACCAGCTAGCCTGATAGATGCGCTCTTCTATATTTTGGGTAAGTAATTGACTGGGCCTGGGCTCTACTGCATAAGTTATATCTGAACCCATTTGCAGTTATTTTAGGTGACACAATAAAGCAGTCAGCATAAACTGAGAAAACCTTGTCAGTGCTTTGTCAAGTGTGCCAGAAAAAAACCCTTGAGATTCAGAACCAAAGGTGTAATTTCAGTTAATTGTCTGGATGCTGAATATTGTTAATTCACACTAGGGCTCATATTAACCCAAACCACTGCCATCTAGCATCCATGCAGGCAAAATTGTATTTCTTGCTATATAGAAGCCCATCTAGATACGATCCAGTTTGCTCTTCTGTCTCTGATTTCAGTCTGCAAGGACAACAGGAACAGAGGCTGCAGATGGCCTGGGATTCCCTTGCATTTGATTGTGTGTCAGCAGCCTGATCTAATCAGGCAAGTCTGTTTTTCCAGAAAATAAAATTATTATAGACAACAATATGGTGAATTGAAAACTTCTCAAAGTTGTTAAATTATCTGGTTTTGAAAAGGAACTGTATCAAGCAGATACTGAGCAAGGCAATGAAGCCCAGTGGGCAGAGTGCTGGACAGGGATTGAGAAATCTGGGTTCTTTTCCAAACTCTCCTGACTTTTAAATGACCTTGAGCTGTCACTTCACTGTGTTTCAGTTTCACTGTCTGTGTGAGGAGGATAATAATCCTCCATAATGATTTTACATTTACTGAAGAAAGGTTCTGTATCAACACTAGGCATTCTAAATGCAGCTCTGGTTAAAGATGGGCAGGATTTGGTCAATACCTCATGTATTCCAGA